GGGCTTTCCCTCCTTCCTATAAATAGGAGGAGGGAGGGCTTTTCTTTAAAGAGGATATTTTTCCTCTTCTCTCCAGGGACAATGTTTCCTCCCCATCCCCTTTAGATTAGTTGATTTCAAGCTCCATCAATGGAAGCTTCAAGGTATTTGTATTATGTAATTGGTGAGGAGAGCAGAATAATGAGAAAGGGCGGGCGTGGACGTTAGCCTAAAAAGTCCCGTGGTTTTCTTCCTTTCCGGGTTTCCACGTAAAAATAGCTAGTTTATAAACTTTTATATATTTATTCATTTTTATACCGAATCCATGATCCCTAATATCCGAAGTTATGTTGGGTTTTCGGATCTACGGGACTAAGACTCAACATTGGCGTCGTTTGTGGGAAACGCTTCAAAAAGATTCATGTTCTGCAAAAATTTTGATACGAATTTTTTTATCAAGCAAGAAACGAAAAACAAAGAAGAAAACAAAGAAGAAATTCAAGATCCAATTCAGCGATGGGTGGTCATTGTTCAAACCACTCCGGTCACACTCCGAAAGTAATTGAGAAGGCCGAAGCAGGAGGCCAAAAAAGGTTGACTTAAATGCAACAGAACTAAAGAAGATGTGAAGTGGGGCCCATGCACCCACTAGCTTGATACAGAGAGGAATACGTAGCTATCTATCCTCACGTGGAAGGCCTGACAACAAAAATACAAGTGGGTGACGTGACTGAGTGACCTTTATCCAAAAGTAAACGCCGCACCCCGAACAAGAGCTCCCGAACGCCCAAACTAACGATGGCACCTCGAGGTACTACTTAAGACATAACATTTCACAATCCAATCTTAGAATCAATTTTAACAACATTTCATTTTAATGTCCAACTAGTATCTTACTACTAGTCAAATTAATTCCAACAAAACCAAGTTCTCAACTCATAGTCATATAGACAATTCCAACCGATTTTCCTTTGAAAATATCATTTATCTCAATATTCAAAAATATCACTTTTAATCACTCATATATTCTAATATGAAGAAAAAAGTATATTTCAACATATGTTTCATAATTTATTTCCACTTTCAAGTCAACATACTCATAACACATGATCATACACAATTTACTCTTAAATTTGTATATCATGCTCCTTTTTCTATAGACATTAGTCTTCTCATTCTTAGGCATTATTAATCATTAATAATCCATAAAAACACATTTAATTACCTTAGGAAATCTCATGAAATTAACTCACTAATTATAAGCAATATAGTCAGCCACCCTCACCTTATGAAGTGCTGAAATAGTTGCCTTTGCTAAGCCCCTCGATCAATCCCCGTTCTAGGCCGATTGAAAGTGTAAAACTGGACTGCTGGGCAAAAGCCGGGTGGCTTTCACGAAAGTCGGGCGGCTTTCACGAAAGCCGGGCGGCTTTCGTAGTCTGCAACTACGAACAGCTCCTTTGGAGTGGCAGTTTCCGGCGATTTCGACTCCTGTCGATTTACCAACTCTTCTAAGTTAATTAACAACACTTTATAACAATATTCTACACTTTTAAACGTGTAGAACATCATGTTTAATCCACCATATGATTTCTTACAAATCATACATGCTAAAACTAGTTAAAAGAATATTCATTGAGTTCTTACCATAAACACTATGTTTTTCTTCTTGGATTTCCTCTCCTCTTGCTTCCTTCAAGCTTGAGCTTCTTGAGAGTTATCCCTTGGAGCTCTCCCTCTATGAATGGTCCGTATGATTGCAAATGGGGTGGGGTTTCTCTTCACTCCACACAAAACAATTGTGTAGGAAGACACATGGGTATGGATTTGTTGTCTCAATGAGACCTCCCACCTAATGCACGCCCCTCCCATGTTCTGGTGTCCTTCCGGCTCTCATTAGTCAACTTAGAGCACATAAAAACGTGGGGTGGCCCTCACTTATGTGGGAGGTCATCCCATTATGTCCCGGTGTGTACAATCGGCCCCGAAAGTTGTATTCCTCAGACCGTTTTGATTATATTTTATTTTATCGGGCCAAATAAAATATATCACGCGTTCCCACTATATATGGGCCTTTAGAATAGATGTACATTCCCTAACATTAATTTAGGAGTCTCCGAAACTCATTTCGGGATGTTATCCGCTAAATTATCAATACCGGTAATTGAGTCTCGTTTGACCCACCGGTCAACTCTATGCCCTTCCCGTTGCAAAATTAAAATATCCACCTCCATATAGATGTCATCTAGACCAAGATGAATATAATATGTGGTTCGGGAATTATCGGGCGGTCCCCGTTCCCGCCGTGGGCCCCACATGCAATTTACTATTCACCTCAAAAAATAATATAATTTAACAATTACGTAAATTCATCACTCATCCTTCAAGGTTTAATTACATGCAATTTACGTAAACATGCTTGGGGACGGTGTCACAGGCTCGTCTTCCCCCTTGTTCCATGTGTTTTTTCTTGGTGGGTGTTGTCCCTGCTAGCTTTTCTTCATAATTTGGTCCAGTTGTCCTTCACAGGCAAACTTTTCCGCATATTTTTTCAGGATGTAACACTCGTCCGTCTCATGGGTATCACTTTTATGAATCTGGCAATATTTACCCTTTTGGAGAGTTGATTGTTGACGATGTTACAACCCTCACTCATCGTGATCAGACCTTGCTTAGCCGCGTAGTCGAGGACCGTGCATATTGGAAACTCAAGTTGACTAGATAAGGGACCTTCTGGAACATTTGATTTGCCCTTACCCCAGCCAATCTTCTTCTTTTTGAACCGTTCCCCGTATCTTGGTCATGAGTTTCTTTCTCTGAGCTCTTCTTCTTTTCCCCATCAGGTTGGGGCCTCCCAGTCTCCTCATCTCTCTTCCGCCTCTCAGCCTACTCTACATCAGCTTGCGCATTTGCGCGCAGTAAGGCCTCCTCGTGTGAGGTCGAGAGCACCAAATGATGAAGTTCAATCTAACTACTAGAGCTAAATCTACTAAAGATATCAAAATATGGCAGCGTAAGACATTATTATTAGTATTATTATTATTATTATTAATATTATCATCATCATCATCATCATCATCATCATCATCATCATCATCATCATTATTATTCAGAAGAACGATTGACCGATCCTTTCACATGGTATTTACAGGAAGTATTTACAGACTTTAGGAGTTAGTATTCTAGGAGGAAACTAATACATTAAATGCTATTAATTATATATTAGTTCGAATCGAACTCTTGTAGCGTCTTGGCCATTGTGCAATTATTATCTCCTTCAAGTCTACGTTTCCTGTTGAGTCCTGCCTGCTGCCAAATATCTATGCTCAAATGATAACCTGCCACGTAAACCCTAGGAATATCTCAGCCTCACTGGAACTCCGGCCAGGCTCGAGGTCTGTTGTCCAACCCAGCATGGCTGTGGGTTCCTATCGTGGGCCTGATCCCTAATCGGCCCTAGCGACTTATTCAATATAAATCACGTTCAGGGCTTGATCCCATTTATGGGCTAATCCTATTAATTAGGCTAATCCCGTTAAGGACTGATTCCGCTCTGGACTACGTAATTGGGCCATGGTTAGAGTCTATGGTATCATTAATGTGTTTACTTCGCTACTAAAGTCACAATTAGGTCAGTAAAACATGTAAAGTAAATACGCAAACTTCTTAAAGAGTTGTTTACTAACTGAAAAGGTGTTTAGAATGCAATGCCTTTTACGAAGCATACCACCCACCATGTATTAATTAAGCAACATTTTAAGTTTTTTTCATTTTCCGAATTTACCCTTACCTTTACCCCTTGCTCTTACCCTATTGTTACAGTTCTACCTGCTACCCCTTCTACACACCCCCTCCTACCCCTACCTTACCACGACCCCACCCCACCACCCTCGTACCTTTCCCCTACCCTATCCCCATGGGTACGTATAAGGCGAGGTTGGGTTAGTGTATCGGTGTACGAGGTGACCCTATATATTATATTACATACTTGTGTTGATGAATGTTTATGTGTTCATATATGTATAAGGTTATTTTGGATATTTTAATGTTAAATAGTGTTTTAAATCTTTTAGAAATTACTCCAAATAGGACTAAAACTATGGCAAAAACTCAAAATAGGCCTTACTATGTTTTTCTTTTCAAAATAGGACCAAATTAGTCCTATTGGAAACATACCTATTTTTTCCTTCCATTCTTGCCCTTCCTTTAAATATGAGTTAATTAAATGTTTAATTCATAATAAATTCGAACAAAATTCAAAAATTCGTAGAAAAATAATTGAAAAAATTATAAAATATTTATAAAATAAAAAACTATTTTTTTATTTTTTTTATTTTTTTTTAAAATTAATAAAAATAGTAAAACTCCATAAAAAAAATTAAAAAAAATATGGATGCCTTTCCCACCACCTGTACTACCTCCCTCCACCACCATCTCCGGACGGTGAAAAAATGTCATTTTCCCTAAAAACTGCCATTTTTTTCCTGAAAATACCAAAAACATGACATATTTCTCTTTGAGAATGCGAACATTTTCATTATTTTCTGCCATCAATATGTCATTCGTAATGAACTTGGCATTTTTTTTTTCGGTGAATGGAGGTGGTGGTGCAGAGGTGGGAGAGGCGACGGTGAATTTTATTATATTTTTTTGAGTTTTTTATTTTTTTTATTTTTATTTTTTAATTTTTTAATTTTTTGAAAAAAAAACTTAATTAATTATTATTATCGAAATATTTTTATTAGTTTTTTAGTATTTTTTACGAATTATTATTATTATTATTTGTTATTTTATTATGAATTAAAACATTTCAATAGCTAGAAGAGTATATTTGTCCAAGACACACATAAATAGTCCTATGAAAACATAGTTTAGTTTTTGGTCCTATTTGTGCAAAGTGAGTGACTTTTAATCCTATTTAGATAATTAACCGAAAGTAACGAGGATATTAAAACACCATTTTTACTAAAATACCTTTTTTTTACTAACCCCATTAAACGTGTCAACCGTCAAACATGGTCCGCCGGATGTAATCACAAATTCAGAACTTCTTAAGCAACTATCCCTCTCTATTCTCCTCCTCCCAAACCCCAATCGGTTTTCCTCATTGGAAATGGTTTCGCCGGAAAATACCGATTGGCTCTACGATTACGGGGTCGAAGATATCCCTATCCCTGACGCGAATTTCCAGGGTTTGGGAACTGGTTTCTGCTTGCCCGTGCCTGCCTTGAATGATTCTACTGCCAGGTAGCTTAGTTTTTGCCTCAAATGATAATTCAGTCCCGCGAACGTTTATTTTCTTGTAAAATGGATATAGGAAAAGTTTGGATTTTTGTGTTGACGTAGGGGTTTTGGATGCCCTTTCAGATGATCTCATGACTAGTGTCATCAACCGATGCAAAGTCTGTTATTTTTTTATGTTTTCTTGTAAGTCTCCACTGGTGTTTGTTATTTGAAACTAGCATTGGTTATTATTATGGAAGCAGGAGGCTCTTTAGCTTGATCAGCGGGGTTATGCTTAGATAATATAAAATATTGAACTTATGAATTGGCTGCATTCAAGCTAAATGAAATGACATTTGATTGGAGATTTGTTTGGCTTTTGTACACTCATAAGTCATACCAAAGCTTTATACTTTAGTAAAAATATCTAACTATATGCTAGGTTCAGCACTTCAGCTCATGCCCGGAACAGAAGTGATTTAAGGAGTATTTGCTAATGTAGAATTTATTATGCAAAGAGCCACAGACCAACCAGGTCCAAGCATCCAGTTATCCTTCATCAGAAAAATTAAAATTCAGAAAAACCATGTCAATCAAGTACTTAATTGTATATATGATGTTATTTAATAATTAGGTCTACAAAAGTCAATACATTCAGGAGTAAAGGTACAGCCTAATTAAGGGCCTAGACCTTGAAGTTGTAAGCTCAGAAAACTAAGTCTCTCCTGATGCCATCATACAATCATACCAAAGCTTTAAACTTTAGTAAACATATCTTCTTTCGAAGAAATGAAAGCATCTATTTAGATTATAACTAGTAGTTCACCTGTGCGTAAAATTTAGATTGCTTGGAGTAAAACTTATTTTGTGAAGTATTAGTTGTACCTTCTTTATGATAATTATAAAAAAAATAGATAAATGGTAACTTTTCATGTTACTGCACCAAAGGTTTTATGCATACGGAAAAGTAACGATGTATAATGGCATTAGAACATATTTAGAAAATATAATGTTACTGAATACACAATATAATTATCTAATAGAGAAAATTAACTAAATAGAAGTAAAATATTATACATTTCATCAAATAGAAGTCCCATTGTTTTCCAAAATAGTACTCATTCACTCTTAAATTGAAAAGTTTCTATTGTTTTATTAAATTAGTAAGACCTAATTTTTTTTATTTGGAATTAAATCTACATACTCATATATTCGAACATTATCCATGTTTTACTCTTATTCTGAGCAATTTCTTTATCTAATATGCACCCTGCAGTGGTAAAAGCACAAATTTACAATGTAGTATTACTGTATTATTCTAGCGGACCATTTTGTTTTGTTGTTAGCTAATTCTTACGGAGTATTACATATGACCAATGCAAAAAATCCTTACATTAAAATTCTTTTTGCGCGGTTCTATGGTTCTAGAAGGCAACCTTGCCTTTTCTGTTGTAAGTTGTAACAAAAAGAAGGGAATGTCAACCTTGCATGATCCTTCTTAATTAGTCACTCTTAGCATATTATTTAAGTGTGTGTGTGTGTATGTGTGTGTGTGAATATATATAGAGCTGCCCCAACCCCGCCATCAGACTCCACAACATAGCAACTACCTCATTAGAAATACCAAAATGTGCTCTTTCTAAATATCCATCCCACCTTAGCATACCCTTATGGCGACCCTTTATTCCTTTATCCATCCCCGTTACCATACCCCCCCTCAAGGGTAATTTTCATTTTTATAGGGGTAGTGGATTTTCCAAGTTGCCAGATGGAGGCTTCAGAGCAATAAAAAAATGTAAGTATGTGTGTGTACCACTAATCTAGAAAACCCTAGGTGGTAGACTGGGGCTAGTGCCTAGTTGGGCTTAAGCAAGGCTTAGTTACGACCTAGGTGGGTCTGAAATGAAAAATTATTAGAGGCGGTCAAGGGAGGTCTAGTGCCTAGGCTGTGTCTAGGCAGAGTTATGCAGAGATTTTTTTAGAACAGTGAACACATTCTTCTCCCATAGTTGTCATTATAAATTTGCCCGTTTCAGTTATTTCACTCTCACATGTTATTGCTTTTATTCCAATGTTTATTTTTTCCATTCTCTTGTTTTTTCACAATGGGATCTCGAACTTGCTAGTGCTGAACTTGATGGATCATTTGGGGATTCTGATGGCCCAAAGGAAACCGGCTCCAAAAAACGGTAAAACTATTGTATCTTCTATGTGGATGTATCGTAATTAACCACAAGTCCACAACAAACTGTTGACTGCTACATTAGATCAAACCATGAAAGAGCCTATCAGAACAGATGTATCTATCAAGTGTTTACAAGAATCATATTATCACCATGCTCTTGTGTTGACATAGGTTAAGTGTTAGGTTCAGTGTTCTAAAAGGCCCTAGACGGGGATTTAGCAGAGCCTAGAAAATCTATAATTTGTTAATACAACAACAACAAAATCCAAGTCTTAATCCCAAAAGAATTTGGGGTCGGCTAACATGAATCGATCAATGATATCGATGCCAAACAGAAAAGACGGACAAGAAAGGGAAGAGAAAAAATTAAGATAAAACGAATAAAATAAAGATAAATAAATACGGAGTATAAGATAACAATAACACAAGAATATAAGAAAGATAAAAGATAAAAAAGAGCATAAAAAGCTAGAATATAAAAATGACATAAGAGTATACAAAGATAAAGAAGATAAACGATAAAAGAAAAAAGAGAGGAAAGGTAGAAAAGACATTAATCGTCCACACAGATGTGTGCCCTTCACTTTGCTCTCTCCAAAGCCATACTCTCATCCAACCTAAGAAGACCCATATCAATTCTGATTGCTCTAATCCAAGTCTGCTTGGGTCTTCCCCCCTCTCTCTTCTCTGCCTCTTCTCCCCACCCCCAGGGGCGGACCCACTAAGGGTCCCACGGGGTCCCGGGACCCCGCGTACTTCCAAAAAAATACCTATATATTTTATTTAAAATTTACTTATAAATGTATATATAACACAAAAACAAGTATGAATCTCAAAGAATGGAGTAGAGCAACGGAGGAAAGGCTTATAAAAACCTTTACTCCTCGTGGAGGTGCAAGGATCGATTCCCTCTCACTCCTATTCCTTTTTTTTTGATTTATTATTGTAAAAGATCACAACTACATCCTTTTGCCTTTTTTAAAAATCCTCAACTTTACACTTTACATAATTCAATTAATTATTAAAATTTCTATTATGATTTTCCATTATTAAGTGAAGAATTGAATAAAATAATTGGTGAATATGAAATTAATTTGACTGGCAATACACATGATCAACATGTTTATTTTGAATCTTTAGAAGCTTATCCTGGTTTGAGAAAAAAAATTGTTGATTTGCATCCTAATGTTCAAGACGAGTTGCGGCATAGTAGGGACTATGAAACGTTGTACTACTTTAATATTTGGAATTTTATCAATTCAAAACTTGAAAGGTAAATGAATTATCAATCCGAGACCTGAAAGAAGAAATTTATGGATATAAGACTCAAATGATGAAAATTGTCAATTTAGGACTTGAATGATCGAAGACTATCAATCTCGGGCCTATATTGTCATGAATTTTTATTATTTTTATGTTAAAATTTTTAAATATTATTTAGTTTTATTAAACTAATAAACATTTGCGGAAAAAAGTTTATCAAAAATTAGCAAATGAATTAATAAAAAATAAATAAATGAAAATCTATCAAATCTTAGATCCTACATTGATAATTTTCATCTTTCAGGTCCTATATTAATACATTTCATCTTTCGGGTACCGAATTTATAATTTATCTATCTATAAGGTTCTGAATTCATAAAAGTTCTTAATATTTTGATGATGTACATTAACTATGAAATGTTAAGCTACTTTAATATTATATACTTACATTTTTTTTAAGGTTTTATTGGTTAGACTTACATTAAGGTAGGGACCCCGTGACTCCGATTTTCTGCGTCCGCCACTGTCCACCCCTCAAGTCGTCTAACAGGTGCATCACTCGGTCTTCTACGCACATGTCCAAACCACCACAATTGAGACTCCTGCATCTTATTATCTCATTCCTCAAACGATCTTTTCTGGTATGTCCACACATCCAACGCAACATATGCATCTCTGCCACACTCATCTTTTGAATGTGGCATTACTTCACCGCCCAACACTCTACGCCATACATTAAAGCAGGCCTAATTGTTGTTCGATAAAATTTACACTTCAGTCTAGTCGGCATACCTCGATCACATAGAAATCCTGAAGCACTCTTCCATTTCATTCACCCAGCTCTGATTCTATGGCATACATCTTCATCTAATTCAACATCTTTCTGAATTATGGAACCCAAGTAACGGAATATATCACACACCGGTATCTCCTTACCATCAAGAGTAATCCCACTGTTGCTACTACTTCTACCTCCACCAAACTTGCACTCCATATACTTGGTCTTACTTCGGCTCAGTCTGAAACCCTTGGTCTCTAATGTTTGTCGCCATACTTCCAACTTTGCTTTAACACCAGATTGTGTCTCATCAATCAATACAATATCGTCGGCAAACATCATGCACCACGATATATCTTCTTGGATTGTCTTCGTAAATTCATCCATGACTATGGGAAATAAGAAAGGACTCAGAGCAAATCCTTGGTGCACTCCGATAGTAATAGGGAACTCTGCAGTCCTCCCTACACTAGTGCAGACACTTGTAGTACAAACATCATACATATCCATGATGATACTGATATACTTACGTGATATGCCTTTTCTAGTTAAGGCTCACCACAGGACTTCTCGAGGTACCCTATCATATGCCTTTTCTAAGTCAATGAACACCAAATGTAGATCCTTTTTAGAGGCTCTATACTTCTCCATAACTTGTCTAAGAAGGTGAATGGCCTCAGTTGTTGAGCGTCCAGACATAAAACCAAATTGATTCTCCGAATCTTTCACACTTTACGAAGTCTTTGCTCAACCACTCGCTCCCAAAGTTTCATGGTGTGACTCATAAGCTTAATCCCTCGATAGTTAGCACATTCTTGTACATCACCCTTATTTTTAAATAAGGGAATGAGAGTACTCTTCCGCCAACTCACTGGCATTTTGTTATTTCTCCAAATCATGTTGAAGAAACGTGTTAACCACTCGATGTCTTTCTCCCCCAAACTTCTCCAAGCCTCGATCGGTATGCCATTCGGGCCCACTGCTTTTTTCCGCTCCATTTTTCTCATACCCTCCTTAACATCTGTTGTTTGAATCCTTCTCACGAAGTCTCGATTTACCATACACTCTGGTATAGTAAGATCATCAATACCTTGCACTTTATTCCCGTTGAACAAGGTATCAAAGTATGATCTCCACCTCTCTTTGATTTTTTTGTCCTCCATTAGTACCCTTTGATCAACATCCTTCACACACTTAACTTTTCCGATATCCTGAGTCCTACGATCACGAAGGCGAGCAAGTCTGTATATATCTTTTTCTCCTTCTTTAGAGTCCAACTTTACATATAATTCCTTGTTCACTTTTCCTTTGGCTTCCTTCACAACTTTCTTTGCTCTTCTACGAGCCTCCTTATACTCCTCTATGTTCTCGTCGCTCCAACTTTTGCCCAATTTCTTATAGCATTCCCTTTTGGTCCTTATTGCTTGTTTCACCTCATCATTCCACCAAAACGCATCTTTTTTTTTGTGGCAGACATCCTTTAGATTCTCCGAGTATCTCCTTCGCCACTTTGTTAATGGTGGACTCCATTGATAACCACACATCATCCACATGTGTGTCATTATCAATAGACCATACATCTTCCTCCAACATTTTGTGTGCAAAACTTTGTTGGAGATTCCCCTCGAGCCTACACCATTTTATCTTTGGCTCTCCTTGTACCTTAACCCGTCTCCTTTTTTTATCTAGAGAATCAAGCACAAGCATCCTATGCTGCGTGACAACACTCTCACTTGGGATAACCTTACAATCAGTGTAGCTAGTTCTCCAAGTCATCCGTACTAAAAAGTAGTCAATTTGGGGTACTATTAGCTCCACTTCTATAGGTGACAAGGTGAGAGTCTCTTTTCTTGAACCAAGTGTTCATCAAAGCTAACTCATATGTCGAGGCAAAATCCAAAATGTTCTTCCCCGCTTCATTTCTAGTGCCAAAGCCATGTCCGCCATGGATACTCTCAAAATCATCCCGACTTGGGCCCACATGCCCGTTGAGGTCGCCTCCTATTACCAACTTCTCTCCCCTTGGCACTCGTCGCACCACTTCCTCTAGATCCTCCCAAAATTGTTGAGTGGTAGATGCATCCAATCCCACTTGTGGTGCATAGGCACTTACCACGGACACGATCTCATCTCCTGTTATCAACTTAATGCTCATGATGCGATCGTTCTTCCTAAAGACTTCAACCACACCCTCAACATAAACATGTGACACCATAAAGCATACTCCATCTCTGTTCCTCTCTCCCCCCAAATACCACAACTTAAAACCTTCGGGATTAATCTCACATGCCTTTTCTCCAACCCACTTAAATTCTTGCATGCACATTATGCTGATACTCTTCCTCTTCATAACCTCAGCTATCTCAGATGATCTTCCCGTAAGAGAGCCAACATTCCATGTCCCAAAACGCATTCTAACACCCTGCCTTCTCTTCTTCACACCACATCGACCCCACCATGCCCTTGCATATTTGACACCATCCCCGAGCATTGGAGTGGCGCGTCGCTTTCGGGCGACGACATAGCAGCCTTAGCATTCTTATCACCACACCCAGCCCTATGAAATTTAGCGCGCCCTTGCTCATTTGACACCACCCCTAGGCGGAGGGATGATGCATCGCTTACGGGCGACGATCTAGCTGTAACGATATTCATATTTCGATTCATGTCATGTGATGTGACTAAGTGATACTGTTGGCCGTCACACGCCTACCACATCACCCTCCTCCTTTATCCTGGCTTGGGACAGGCATGATACAGAAAATGATCTCATGGTGGTGTTCTATAATTTGTTAATATGTTATCTTATACTTCCTCCGTTACTTTGACTACGATTTTCTAATAATACATATAATAAAAATATTATGTATGAAATATTAATAAATTTGTATTAATGTAAATTTCCAATATATTAACTTTTTTTAATGTTTACTAATACGTAAATAAATATAATTAAAGTCAAAGTTGCGCGTTGGGAAACGTGAAAGTCAAACTGTTGCAACTTTTATGGAACGGAGGATAGTATATTTTTACTTACTGCTCTTCATGTTATGATCAAATCACGTCGAAAATTGCTGTGCTTGATAACAAAGAAGTGCAGACAGTTTAGTGAGCCATTTTGCTTTATTCCATCATATTCCCAAGCAAAAAAATAGTGAGTTTTTTGCTCCAATGGAAATGATGAAAAAACTCTTTATGTCATGATCGTGTAGATAATTTTAAGCAATAAATAAAGTTGAGATATCAACTGGTCCAATCGCTATCAATCCCATCAATAGACAATTAATGCCACATCATCCTCAAGCATTGTAGTTACTATCTATTTGTCAAACTACATAAGTAACATAATCATGCTTTTCTTATTTGGGTTAATAATCTTTTATATTTTATTAGATTAGCGGTCAAAATTGTCAAATTACGATATTGTTTTTAAATACAGAAATTTGTCTATTCATATTAAATATTCTAAAAAACGATTAGAAAATAATTTGAGTCTTGACTCGGTGTGACACTGTGATGGTGCATGAATAGTGCACATAAAATAGGAGTTATAGGACACATATTATATTTTTGTACCAATTCATGTTCATTGCTAGCATGTTATTGCAACCAACTTGCCACGAGTATAGTTAAAGGAAATCATTTAATGCTGAAGACCATGAATGGGTACTTGTCCCACATTGGTACTGTTAGGCCATATATTTGTTCTTTCGTGTTAATAAATAAGACAATAGGACCAAGATTGCTTAACAATTTCTGAGAGAAGGCAACCAACTGGCAGCCATCTCATCACAGTTATTTTTATTTTTATCCCCTAATTGGCACCTAGGCGTCCGGCCTTGAGGAAATCCTGGTGGTTTGAGCCCATCTAGTGCCCAGGCCGCACTTCAGAACATTGATTACTAGATAACTTTAGCTATCTGTCAGTACAGCCAAACCCAGGGAGCTTTCCTCACAATTTTATATTGTTTACAGGCCAAGAGCTGATAGTTGTGGCTCATCAAGTTCCAAAGCATGCAGGGAGAAGTTGAGGAGGGATAGGCTAAATGAAAAGTCTGCTCACTGTTCATTCTTTTAGATGTTTAGTTCCATCTCCAACTTTCTTCATCACTAATATAGGAAAGTGAACTTGATGTAGGTTTACGGAATTGGCTGCACTCCTTGATCCAGGCAGGCCTCCTAAAACAGACAAATCTGCTATCTTAGTTGATGCTGTGCGTGTGGTGACACAGCTACGTGATGAAGCTAAGAAGCTAAAGGACTCCAATTTGAATCTGCAAGAAAAAATAAAGGAGTTGAAGGTGAGAATTTGTTTGTTGTTTGCTTTATATTGTCACACTTCTATTAATTATATAATATATACCATTATGTTAAGTCTTGCATCGGATGTTTACTAGCTCTATACATATTATATAAATGTGTGAAACACTACTTAAACATCACCTTTCTATGATTCTTTTGGGGTCAGTTTGATTCAATTTAATATGGTATTAGAATCTCGTCCAGTTGTGATTCCTTTATTTTGTTTGCACCCATGGTTTGGAGTTTTATCTGGGTCATTTTGACTCCCTTGAGTCGTCCAGCGGTCCAGCCCAGTTTGAGTGTAGGGCATGTAAGGTGGTCCTACATGAAGTACGTTAGAGTCCTCACCTTGTGTTGAACTTGCTAATAAATTTGAAAACTATGGCTCAAATGCTTTATGACCCAGTTGAGTGACCCTAACCCCATCCTAAATTCTATAATTGTACCAGAGCAGATTTTGGTTTACTTTGTCAGGTTTTCCATTTGAATGTCCCTCTAAGCGGCCCGTGAGTCTTTAGCATTGTTTCCATCCCTTGTCAATTAAGTGTTACCCCCCTGCATCTCGAGTTTCAGTTTCATGAGAGACGACTACAATTGGCTCATCAGTTAGATTCAAATTTCAAAATAACCTGGATGTCCATTTGAGGGAGTGTTAGTCCCACATAAAAAAAGTAAAGTGAAAATGATGCAAAATAAGATCTTGTATTATCGAATGATAGGGATATGACTACTTATAATAATAAGGATAGATACTAGAAGAAATAAATAGAATAGATGTTAATAGTTGTTTTCTGTTAGTAGCTAGTAACTAAAGTCAGTTGAGTTGTAATACTATAAATAGTAGTAAGCTGGATATTGTCAGGAGGCTGTTTTCTGACTCTAAGTCATTTCTGGGAAGATCAGAGTTGTATCTCTATCTTTTGGGGGCTTCGGCCATTGTTGCCTTGTTAATAAAAGCTTGCAGTTACGTTCTTGTTGAATTCTGTGAATTACTGTAGAATTGCAGAGTTCTAACACTGGTATCAGAGCATCGTCTATCTTTGTGGATAATCTTTACTCTGCGCAAATGGATTTACGATTAAGCAAGTTGGAGAAAAGTCAGAATCAATTCGTGGAGCTATTGGCAGCAGTGCAGGCGAAGCTCACAACCTCGGATAATCGAGACCAGAACCGATCCAGAAGCAGGTCGCATACTTCGCATTCAACGCATCGCACCTCGGGGCACAGACCTGCGAAGAACTTCTATAGACCAGAAGGTGTGGAAGTCTCACAATTCGCAGAAATCTTCATCGCAGTCGAAATCACGAACATCTCATATTACGCAGTCGCGAATCCCATCTTCCAGTTCGCAATCGCGAACGGCTTCGCTCAGTTCGCAGGAATCGTCGCTAAGCGCACAGCGAACCGCAACAGCAGATCTCAGTCTGCAGGTACTCCCATCCACGATCAATTCACATAACAAGGCAACGCTATTGAAAGAAGAATCTTCTAGTTCGCTAGTTTTGTCGCCAGATATTTCTCAACCAGCGCAAGATTTTTCCCAGACAATAAAGAAGATTGAGAGGGACACAACTGAATCTGGAATCAAGAAAATAAATAAGGACAAAATCGAGGAGCAAAGACAGGTTAGTCCCTTGCCAGATTACGTTTCTCCTAATCTTACGGATGATGTGGGTTTAATTCCCAGCCAAGTTTCTATTCTGGATCTGCTTATACACCCATGTTCCTTTGGAAGTAGAGTCCTAATGGCTTTTGAAACGGTTCTTATCAAAAGACAACAACCTCCACAACCAAAGGATTTTTTTTCAGAAAATTCATGCCTGGAACAAAAGAGGTCTGGTCCAGTGGTTCATAAGGATCATGTTTATCTTTTCTCGGGAGAATCTGCTATCATATGGGGAAAACGTCCAATGATTCATGATGATGACAAATCTAGCCATTTCCAAAACCTTGACAGAAATTCACTGAAATTTGCAACTTTAATGATCAAAAACTTAGCAGGTTCTTTACCTGCTGTGGTATCCAAATGGGTACAAGACAAGTGGACAAATTCTTCAGACTATGGTATGATAGTGGATTACATAACTGAGGAATCAGTTATGCAAGTTGCAGAAATACAAGAAACCGAATTGCAGCCATGGGGTGAGAGCAGGTTAAGATACCACCAGCTTAGCTTACATAATCCATTCAAAGCAACTGAAAGATATCTCATGAGGGGAGACATTCCTGCAAAGACAGATGGAGCAATTAATGAAATGGTGATGATAGAAGGAAATGAAGTTGTACTCAGAATGGGGATCCACAGAATTATAACTGTAGGAGTTGACTTTGTATTCTCATGCACAAGATGTTGCTCAGTTTCTGTGTTGCATCACACTGACAAAGAGGATCAGGGCATGAACATAAATTTTACTAAGGGTGTAGGTGATACACCTCAGGAAGACAAGGAAATACTTGTGGCTATGGAAGGCTTAAAAGCTAGTGAAGAAAATGAAACTTCACCAGAAATATTCTATGCTGCAGAAAAATATGGGAGTTGGAAAGATTATGTACTAAAGCTATTTGCTCTGAAACAAGTGAGATATTGGGAAGGTAGAAGCGCAAGGAGGAAGAGGAAGAGGAAGTATAAGATTTTTACTGTCTCCTATCACCCACCTTGAGGGCAAGGTGGATGTTTAGGGGGGGGGGGGGGAGTATTGATAGGGATATGACTACTTATAATAATAAGGATAGATACTAGAAGAAATAAATAGAATAGTTGTTAATAGTTGTTTTCTGTTAGTAGCTAGTAACTAAAGTCGGTTGAGTTGTAATACTATAAATAAATAGTACCGAGTAGTAAGCTGGATATTGTCAGGAGGCTGTTTTCTGACTCTAAGTCATTTCTGGGAAGATCAGAGTTGTATCTCTATCTTTTGGTGGCTTGGGCCATTGTTGCCTTGTTAATAAAAGCTTGCAGTTACGTTCTTGTTGAATTCTGTGAATTACTGTAGAATTGCAAAGTAAAGTGAAAATGATGCAAAATAAGATCTTGTATTATCGAACTAGTTAACAATTTAGACTTGATCATTTAGGGTTATTTGGATTTTATCTTTTAGGGTAGATGGACCCACTGAGCAAGCCTAACTCCATCCTGAACTCTATCATTATATACTTCATTTCTTAAAACCCTTTAGGGTGAGTTAGGTCTAATTTAACACTTCCTTTAATCTTTATATGTCTTAAATTGTGTAGTCTGAGAAAAATGAACTTAGAGAAGAGAAGCAGAGGCTGAAGGCCGAGAAAGAGAAGCTAGAGCAGCAACTGAAGACCATGAATGCACAACCTGGTTTCATATCTCCTGCCATACCAGCTGCTGCTGCGTTTGCCGCTCATGGTCATGCAACTGGAGCTAATTTTGTGCCTGTCATCAGCGGCTATCCAGGGGTAGCCATGTGGCAGTTCTTGCCTGACACCTCTCAGGACCATGTTTTCCGATCTCCAATGGCTTAAACTCTGTAGCTATCACTGATAAAGTTGGGTTTACCTGGTGCTTTAATTTTCCATTGGATTTATAACTGCCCAGTTTCATTGTAACATTTAGGTTTCAGATCTTAACTCTGTTTGATGAATGACATACGATTCTTCCATCTTCCCTGAAAATGTAAGAATGCGATCTTTCACACCACGGACTGGATGCTGGTTTTTATTTGTAAATGTCAACAATTTAACCTGTATTTGAAATGTTAATGGTTGTGATTTATTATTTTATGTGTTGTTTCTTTTCTTTTTGTTGGTTTCAAGTGAGTGATTTGTCACTGTCATATTTTTAAGTGCAGAGATTAATTAATAAGATGAGGAGTACTCTAAATAGCATATGTAAGTATCTAAATAGCATATGTAAAAAGAACACCGAGTGTATGGTTATACAACGATGTTTGATGTACCCATCCTTATACCCACCTTATAGGCTTATACTCACCATATATCCACCATGTTTGTAAAGTTTTTTGTATATGAATCTGGTTCACAGACAAAATATGTGTTATGTGTTATTTTGTCTGTACAAATTTTGCACAAACAAAAATTGTTTGTGAACGGAACTTATAGACAAAAAAAGCCTTCGATGGGTATAAATGTGAGTATAAAAGTGGATACAAACATCATTTTTTATGGTTATGTATGTGCATCAGTGCATGTGATCTTAGGTTGCATTGAGATTTTAAGGTTTGGTCTAAATAATGTTTAAATGCAATTTGATACCTATGTCTAGCCTGATTTGATTTTATCTATTCTAGTCTTTTTAGATCTGGTCAAATATGATTTGGTTTGATTTATTTAAGATAGAAATAGGTCAAAGTAAGAAACAATGGAAATAATGGTTCCAAGTTTTCATTGAACAAAAAATGAGATCACTTGTTAACTTATACAAGTATGTTGCCCATATTAGAGTTAGAGAATTAAGACATAAATAACCCTTGTTACAGTAGCCCTAATTCTTTTGACCAAAGTTTTTATATCGGCTTCCCCTTGCTCACCTCCGGTTATTGATGGACTCGGGCCGGGTCGGGCCCGGGCCGGGCCTAGGCCCGGTCGGGCCGCCGGGTTGTATGACATGGGCCCGGGACCGGCCCGAGGGTTGGACGGGTCCGGTTCGGGCCGGGCCACCCGCCCGGGTCACGGGTCGGGTCCGATTCGGGCCGGGCCGGTTAATTTTTTTTTATATAATTTATATTTTATAGTTTATAGTTTTATACGAGTATTAAAAACAAACTTCAATTGCATTTATTTGAAATGAAATAGGAACTACATTTGAAAATTAAAACAAATTTTAAGAGATAAACATTTTGAAAATTGTAATCAATCGGAACTTCCCGCACCTCCCGATCCTTTGGCTTTGTCACATGACTTCATATGCTTGATTGCCATCCCGAATCCGCCTGAAGCCCCCATGCTACATTTTTTCTCGCACCATTTGCAAATTGCGTACCACATCCCGGTCTTCGGGTCCTTCTGCTTATCAAAATTATACCGTATAATGGCATCTTGATTTTCCATCTTAACTTCTTAAGTATAAACTATAGAGTAGATATATAAATAATAAATATAATATATTGGAGAATAAGAGAATTAGAGAGTAGAGAGTTAAGAATAGGATTTAGGAAGAATTGGAGAAGAGATATGAAAAAATGTTTAAGATTAGGAGTATTTATAGGTTTTTTTACCCCCACCCCCCCCACCCCCCCACCAGCCAACCCCCCCGGACCCCCCCTTTACCCCACCCAACGGCTATATAGCCGTTTGGGTTGTCCCCACCCCCACCCCCAACGACTAGTAGCCCAACCAAACAATTTTTTATTTTTTTTAAAATAAGACCGGACCCGGGCCCGGGCCGGGTCACATTATTCCAGCACCGAGCCCGCCCCGCCCCTTCCCACCGGTTCGGGCCCATACTCGGTCCCGGACCGCCCGACCGGGCCGGTCCCGGGCCCGCACAGTACCGGGCCGGGCCGGGTCACGGGCCGGGTGGCCCGAACCGAATCCAACCCTACCTCCGGTCCTGCTCCATGAATCCTTCCTCTGTGGTAACTATTATTTATGCAATATAATTCATATGAAAAATCAATAATTTAATTAGACAGACAATTATTGTACTTACAAATAATTACGTAGTATTATCTGTGCTTTGATTTGGATAGTAACATTTGCCCATCCTACTTTGGATGTAACTAATCTTGTAAAATTTAAAACTTTTGGTGTTTTTTGGAAGAAAACTTATTCGGAGTAGTGCTTTAATATACTTCTATGGTTGGGAAGGTTGAAAATTACTACCTCCATAAAAAAAGTTTTTTTTTAACAATAGCACAACTGCAATAAGACATTAATCCTACTTATATTGAAAAAAAAAATGCTAGAGTTTAACTAAGTTTAGAAGAAATGGTCAAATAAGTCATTCTATTACGGAGTATTTCTTATTCATTACATAAGTCATACTAAAAAATATCATATAAATGCACTTACTTTTTAAATACAACAAATCAAGTCATTTTGACTTGCTATAGTAAGTTATATTAAAAAAAAATAATTAGAACTATTGATAAATCTTATAAAAATCCATGTAAATTTGACAAATAGTATAATAATATAAAGAATAACATAAATTTTAAAACAGATAAATAATTTTAAAAAGTTAAAATAATTTAAAAATTCAAAAATATTAACTTTGACATTTTACAAATTTTCAAATTTTTTATTTATATCTTTTCAAATTTTAACAATTTTATAGAATTTTTAAATATAAAAAACCTGCTATTATAAGTCAAAAATTAAATAAATGATCAAATTAATCAATTTTTGAAAATAAACATACTTATACTCCGTATGATATTTTTTGATATGGACAGAAACTTGAGCAATGTATTGAAATTTGATACATACTTCGTATGATGAATATGAATGTGACTCCCAATTTGGCAAATCAGTGACCTCTAGTTGCAGGAGAGTGACTGAGTGAGGCTATCTTCTCTTCAACTCGTAACCTGGTTGTGCTCACGGCTGACTTTAATGGACTGTTCTAAATACTGTCCTATGGCTACGAATCTTCTTAATTTCCACCAACTATCCATCAACACTTCGAACTCCAAATTTCATTTCAAGCCGACCCAGGTTCAGCATCCACCTTTCTTCCCCACTGGACGCCATTATCGTCACTTTCATCGTTTCACTGTTTCCTTGACGAAGCCCTTGAGCAGATCAATATACCCCCATTCTGCCCTCTCCTCACCTACCCCACCCAGCAGCAAAGAAGAAGCCATTTCTCAGGCGAAGGCTTCTCTTTGCCGCACTCTAGAGAAGCCTCTCAACAACCCCAAACTCTCCCCGAGAATCAAGAAGTTAAAGCAACCTAGATTCCGAGTAGAAATTCCGGTGATCAATGAGTCGCCGACGTCACTCTCACAGCTCGCGCTTGATGTGTTCGCGAATATGCCCATTAAAAGGAAAGGCTCTAAAATTAAGACTATGATTCTTTGGCCAGATGAGTGTTTCGAGGAGGCTGCCAGTACGTTTGCAAGTCGTTCTTACAGCACTACGGTTGAAAATCTTGACACTTTATCGGTAGCTACTGGAGAAAGTAGCAGGATTTTGAGTCCTGCTGATCTGATTGTGTTCTTGACTCCAGAGGTTCGACAACTTGAATTTATGAAGATAATCACGGATAGTGTGTATCCAAAGCCTGTGGTAATTTTCAATCCGAAATGGGGGTTCGAAGATGAGGATGGTTTTGAAGAGTTGCGTGAATTTGTGGGTTCATTTGAAGTAGTGTACTCATTTACGGGGTTGGAGGTTAGAGGGGTACTGAACAAAAGAAAATGTGTGATTTTTAAGTGTGTGAGAGATGGGGTATTGAGTGGGGAGCAATGGAATGTGTTAGTTGAAGAAAAGGGAGAGTTGAAGCTGGTCTCTACATTCAAAACAAGACCATCTATCACTGAAGTTGAGAATGTTTTGTACAATTTGATGGCCATTAATTCTCCACTTACAAAGTCTGCAAAGTTCTTGAAGGCTTTGGTGTCTAAAGTTACCGGTAAAAGTTAACAACATTTTTCAACAATTTATGATGCTTCTCTTACTCCCACTCCACCCCCTCTGTCACTACTGTGTTTATATAGATCTGGTAATCTTTCCGGTCTAAAGCATCTCTTTATTTTATGATACAAGAAATGTCTAAATTGTCTGATTCATTGCTTATAATATGTTCTTTCATATGATCATCTCTGTTGTTTTATCTTTTGCCTTAAATGAGCCAAAGAAACATAAATTATGCTCACGCATAGTTTGTGACTGTCATTTCAGTTAAATTCATAGGAAACTGATTCCCAGTGTCACTGGTGTGTAGGAGATGGGGTAGAGAGAGTACAAATCTAGATAAAGTGATTCTAGTTGAATGATTGAACATACCTCCTCAAAAACACTTAGGGTGTATATATAGACATATATAACTATGTATATCACAACTAAATTAAAGGTGGGAAGACCTTTCCACCATCCATGCCTCCATGATAGTCTATTGGAAGTTGGTTGAAAGATCGCGTCATGTTGTGAATGGCTTAGCTAGAGAGACTCCGTGTGTGCCTGAAATCTTTTATTTTTGCATCCGACTAATCCAAAACCTAATTATGGTATACCCAGGGGTACAAGCCCTAGGGCACTATCAGTAAGTTTCCAGAAAAGAGAATCTGCTTACTGAGTCAAAGGCATTGCAGATTTGCAGGACACGTGAATCACTTCCATAGCTTTTTAGTTCTCTGGAAAGTCTTAATTTGCCTGACTAGCAGAGGCTAAATGGAGTATTTAAGCGGGGTCACATGGCACATACTTGGGATACTATATAAAACTAAATCTCCAATTTCACTTTCAAAACCTCCAACACTGTGAAGGATATTTTTCAAATTGACTTAGTGCAAACATGAAGGTCCTAGTTCACTCAATTCAGTTATTTGCACTGCTTGAGATATCATGAAATATTTGTAGGCTTGTAGCAAAGTAAGCAAATGTTAAAATCAGTTATGCATCTTGAGGTACAAAAAGAATGTGAAGATTTTAAGTGGGTTGAGTGACATTGGATATTTGATGGTATTGAATTTCTTTTTCCCTTATTCCATACCAAAAGTATATACTCCCTCCATCCCATCTTAAGTTTTTCACTTGCCTTTTTTGGACGTCCCAACTAAAGCCTCTCATTTCTATTTTAGGAAATAATTAGCACTCTTAAATGCAAATTAATCATCAAATGTTATTATATTTATAATAATACACCTATAACATCACAGTTGTCATCAATGACTTCATGATGTTATATACCTATCAAAACTATTTCTCAAAATATACTTGAATTACCTTATTTAATTATTGTCTAAATAATTGTGTGATTGTGTCATCTTTCAACGAGACGCTTAAGCCATGAGCCCATGACAAAGGTAGTAAGAATTGGATCTATTTTGAAAAGAATAGTTATGGAAGAAAGGGAGTTGGATGAGTGAGTTTGTAGCATAGATTGAAAAATGTTTAAAGAATTTTAGTGTATTTTGAGAAGGCTTCAAAACTGAAATATTTTACGCCCCCTCCCCTTCAGGGTTTCATGATCCTGAAACCATTTGAACCTCAATTGAATCCCCCATACTCAGGGCTCTTAAACCCCAAATACAGAGCCTATTTTCGCAATATGAATATACAAAATGGGAGGGTACAAGAACAATGTGTTACTCTAAAAAAGTATTTTTTTCACCATGGAACCACTTCTAAATTTTAGTAAGAAAGTTCATAAAAATCATCAACCCTAGTTATTCTCTTTATTAAATTTCTTGGTTTAACCAAATTTAGAATAATTAATTTGTTTGTCATCATCTGAAAGAAAACGAAGCATTTAATTAAATTAGCTTCTTTTGGAATATAACCCTTTTTTGGGATAAAAATAAATTTTCGATGTGGAATCATTTTTGGGATGGAGGGGAGTCTAATATAAAGATTCGTAGCTTATCCATGTTACTGTTGGTCTTGCATATATTACAATTAACTGGAGTTAGGGTGGAACTATGGAAGTTTCACGCCTCAGCAAATGATTCAAACACATATGCTAACCCTTCATGTTAACATCATATTTGAATTGAGATTTCTACTATGAGGATAGAGAAGAGGGAAAGAATCAGACATCCTAACATAATCTTTATACCATCATTAATATATACACTAATACACAAGAATTAATTCTACTTTTTGTCCTAGAGTTTTATGTCATTTCCACATCTAGTCCACGTCTTTCACTTTGTTCACTTTTGGTACTTGTCTAATGTTTCTTGACCATTTGCGATCCTTCCATTTAATTTTCTGACGCCTCTCCAACGTTTTTAACCACCGGAAATATCGGCAGAATGACCATATATGGGCAAAAAACAATAGTCATGCATCAAAAGTGGTCAAAGTCAAAGACGTGGACCAATTGTAGAATTGATGCTATACTCGTAGGACCAAAAATGAAATTTATTCTATACACAATGGAGAGCATCAGAACACATGCTTGTGTGCTTGTAGTGAAGACCAGTTGAAGAAATGTAAGCCTTGGCAGTTCACTTCATCACATCACGAGCTAATGCCTCTGCTTTTGGAAAAGTTTCTCTTAGTTCTTCTCCTTTATGGAAGATGAAGATCATGACACTCTTTCCTTAATACAACTCATGATGCTGTAATATGACACTTTTTAATGAATTTATCTGAGACGTTGACATACTTGCTCCATAGTGATCGAAGTTGTGGGAATGCAATTTCTAGCCAAGGTTTTGCCCTACCATTGAAGTGGATAACACCAGCACTTGCAGCATCTTCATGGCTCGTATTACCCTGATAGCCAAGTCCCAACATGTGCCAGAAGGAATCAATGATATGTACATGGCCATGGAATGCAATTAGGCCAGGAGGTAATGTTCCTAGTTGCCACAAACTCAGGTCTGACTTCAAGTTCTGTATGGGACATTAAAACACATGTTACTTTCTTTGTACTATAGAAACATTTGTGTTGGAAGAATTTGTTTTCTAAATTTGAAAATTTATTTACATCCTCCAACACCTCTTGGCGGTGGAGTGGCCCTGTTGTGGTGTTAGGCACACCATTTAAGAATTTCATCAACATCAGGAAAACCAGTCCGCGAAATAAATGTTTACTGCTAAAGAGTATGTCCCACATGAGTTGACTATGAAATAGCAAATCAACATATAAGACCTTTCTATGATTCTTATGATTAACTTTTTAGGATGAATCAGGTCTTGATGTGGTATTAGAGCCAACCCAATTTGTAACAATGATGTGGGTCCGTGAAAAAATGTACAATCTAGATGAGGTGCTGGATTGTGAAACGTGCTCTTATGAAAAAACATAAAAAATAAACAAAAATTTCCCGATCCAGACACCTCAGCTGGTCGTGAGGGGTGTTGAAGTGCTTATTCCACTTTGGTTAAATACTTCAATATGAAATAACAAACCAACATCATCATCATCATCATTATCATTACCCCAGTGCCGCAAAGGCTCCCACCTATGGTGGGGTAAGGGGGGGTCGGATGTACGCAGTCTTACCCCTGTACTAAAGCAGAGAGAGACTGTTTCCGAATGACCCATAGTGAAATAACAAACCAACCTATAAAGTAAAAATATTGGGCTACTTCTCCAGTCCTACATATTATTTCAGTTTGTGAATTACTTGTTCTAGCCAGTGATGGTATGTTTGACTTATGTTTGTTCTTCTCCATGCCTCAAGATCGAAGATGTTCATGCCGTATGCCCATGCACATTGGTTAGGGTCAAAGTTATTTGCTATTAGAGGGTGAGAAAAGTTCAGATAACTCTTGAAGCGTTTAGACATTACAAGCTTATCCTTCCCTGTGCATGTTTGCACTGCTCCATTCACCTTTCCATTCATGTTAATGTCCCACAAAGGCGAGACATCAGTTTGGACCACTACATCATCATCGAGGAAGACCACCTTGTTTAGAGTAGGAAACAACTGCAAGGCTAATTCACATATGTTAATAACATAATTACATATTTCAAACACTTATAGAACAGATCATTTAGAAGATTAACCTCTGGCAAATGAATCCGTATGTGATTCATTAGCGAGTTGTACTTAGGACTGAGTGCTTGTAACTTTGCCGCAATAATGTTAGGGTTTTCAGTTTGGTTTGCCACAATCGAAGAAGAGCCTCCCCTGAACTGGGACCGTGCTTTTTGGTCTTTCTCCATTGCTTCCAAAACCGGAACTTTCCCCTTTGTGAACCAATCAAAATGGTGTAGGCCTTTAACCTCAAGGATAGCCGGTGTCAAAGGGTGCAAGGAAAACCAAGCCTGCATTTGGGAGTAAGTTTTCTTCTCTGTGATTATGTGAAACACCACCTTTTCTGGGCGCAGTGAGTTTTGGACAAGTGAGGAAGCAACAACTGAGGCAGCAAGAACATTATCAGTGGCCAAAATGAAATGGAAGAACGAGTTATCTACCAGGGCAGGTACGAGTTCTGGTGATGGCAACTGGAGACGAGCATTAGCATTAATCGAGTGCTCATTTGCTAGTTCTAGAGAAAGGCAATGTAGCTGTTTAGGGATGCTATTGGATGCCACATGGCGATACAGGTACTCTTGGATTTTTGCAGTTCTTGTCCTTTGCTCTAGGAAATTGATCTGTTAGTTTGAATCCAATGTAAGCTTCTTGCAATGAGATAATTTACATCGAAAGAAGCGCTTCACATTTGAGGTTTTTACCCACTTCCAGTCTCCAGGGCTGTAGGTAGGAGGGCCAACTGGGTCCCACCCATAGTCTGGTAAAAACCTTTTTTATTTCAAATGTAAAATTTTCGTGTGAAGATTTATTTGAATGATTTTCTTCTGTCCCACCCCGATCCAAAATATTTGGAGTCCTGGCTACACGCACTTCATCTCATTTTCTCCTTTTCCCAAATGGATATTGTTTGGGGATGAAAACTTAACTTATTAACAGTATTCCATGATTTTCTTTTTAGTTTTACAATATCTCAACCCATTGCGCCATTTCATTACATTTTGCAAACAAATGAGAGTAACCTATTATGATGATATTTTGGAATTTGATCTTATTATTCTTTTGTTGGAACTTGGAAGGTTGTCATGGTAGGGATGGACCTGGGCCGTTCTGGTCCAATTCCAGGTAAGGGTGAATCCGGAACCTTACCTGGGTCCATTGCTGAAGTTTTAGCCTATTCGAAAAATAAATAAATAAATAAATATTCAGAACTGGAACTAGATTTGGTTGACAGTTGGTTCTCGTCTTATTTTGGAGGAACCAGAATTGGTTTGGACCAGTTCTGGGTACCAGTCCCAGAGTCAGTGTTCATCCCTGTTGGTATGGAAAGGTCATTTTCATGTAAAGTTTTTGCCTATGCATTTCTGCACAAGTTTTTTTTTTTGTATAGAAAAGCTAATTTTAGAGAAATAGTTGACACCTTAAATCTAATGCCCGCATAATCCTACTGGTTAGGATTAAGGTGATATGATGATTATCACCACCAGGGATTTCAGTTTTTTTTTTTAAATCTGTATTTCTGCACTTTATATGCTTAAACTAGTTGCTAAACCTCCAATATTAGTTATCAATCAAATGTAATCGCGAGAGGAAATTAAAAAGAATGTGATACCATAGCTCTGAGCTTGACAGCGAAGGTCTTTGCATCTGGTCTTTCAGCTCTGAATTCTGCAACTAAGTCTTCGAGGGTCTGAGGAAATTCATTCTCTTCCTGTATCTCTGTCTGGTTTTGTGGTTCCTCCAACACTCTATATATCACTTCTGGGAGCTAAAAGAAAACAATATACCTTATGTCTTCATTCAAATTATTTTTTCTTCTAATGAAAATGAAATTCTTCATTTAGGACAATGTCTAGTTATACACTTGTACCTTCGATTCGAATTGCCCTCCTATAATACTTGGTCTAATTTTTCTTCCCAAGCAACCTGCATTATGTGAAAGTTTCATTTCTCATCATATTGCAGACTTATAATATCACTAAATGCTACAAGCCTGTTATGTTAAAGATTAGTGTAAAAAATGGAAAAGTGAAAACATGATGTACTCCTTCCTTTACATAATTCCTCCCCACTTTTCTTTCTGAACGTCCTAAAATTTTCTTCTATTTGAAAAAAAATCATATGTTTGACATTGTTCATCTCTTTTAGCATCATCTACACCCATACAATTTTACTATTTTAATAAGTGTGACAACTGAGGCTTGGATGTTGTTGTAATAAGCATGACAACTGACAAGTTATATTTTGAAGAAACTTTATTGAGAGTATTAATTAATCAAGACTGAAAAACACATTGTTTTCATAATTCATTCATCATAAAGGAACCATTTAAATCAAAAAAGCGTGTTATGCTGAACACATATTGTTTCCATTTAAGGGCAACATACCCAGTGTAAAAAAAGTGAAACATACCTATGGGTGTACATTTACTTTCTCCGTCAATGGTGTCTACAGCAGTCAACATGAAGACAAACCGGAGCAGAAAAGTGAAGAGGAGGAGGGAATAGAATACAACACGATATGAGAGTCGTCTAGGGACAACTCTGAATTTGATGAAGTCCTTTACGCCTTTGGTAGGAAGAACTGTTACATGCCTCAGGCTTGGGGATATATGGAGCTGCATTTTTACTCCGAACCTGGATTCCGACTCCTTGCCTTGGTCTTGCTAGCAAATTAATGTCCTTTTTGAAGGGCCCTGATAAGGGTGCCGTGTGGTCGTTATCTATCACCTAAACTTGCTTAGCATATCAGCTATGTGTGTTGTCTTCCAGTTTTTACCCCCATCACTATTCTGAACAAGGACCAATTGTTTGACTGAAAGATACATTAGGCTTTGAAAGGCAAGCATGACCTTCTTCTGCAGGCTTGTGGCTTCTTGCTGAAGAATTCAAGAAATTGGAGATATGGCTAGATGAGAGCAACAAGAGCTAAAAGAAATGAGGGCATCCTCTTATTAGTTTGGTGGTGCTTCACTTTGCCTCCCTCTCAAGGATTTATGAATAGGAAGGGAAAGCTAATTTGTACTTTGACACAACTGAATTCTTAAAGGAAAATGACTATCCCTTCCTAACAAGCATTGGTTGTTGCCATCTTGGGATGGAGTAGAGTCATTTTCCTTTTCTGTAAAATTTTTCTTTTGTTTAACTGGCGCTTTTTATTTTGTCATTTAAGGCATTAACCCATGATTTTCTTACCCAATATGTCTTTTCACTGTTTTTTAACAATCCAAAAATGAAGTTTAGACAATTGGGCATGATATTCTTGAATAGGGGGGTGATGCACGGAAATTTTTGGGGATTACACATTTTGAAAATCGAAACTCTCCTGAAAATGTCGGGATGTTGTTGTAAATAAAGAACTATTTTGCAATACTTTCCATAACTAATGGAGCGTTTTATGTTGGTGTTGTTTTTCTAGGAACATTTACATGGTGGACAAAGTTGGCAAAAAATAATCTAACCAGCATAGTAAATACTCCCTAGTCCCTCCGTTCCTAAATAAACTTCTAACTTTTCTTTTTTGTTTGATCCAATTAAAACTTCCAATTTCCTTTTTGGTAAATAAATTGTGGTTCACAACATATCTTACACATTTCTCTCTCCTCTGCACAACTCTCCACCACACAATACTCACTACCTTAAACTGTGTGCCCAATCCATTTGGAAGTTTATTAGGAACGGAGGGAGTACATTTAATTCAAATGCAATACTTTCTTATATTATCATCATTGATATATTATACCTAATATTATTTATTTATTTATTTATTTATTTATTTATTTATAATAACAATATATCTGTTGCTAAAAATATTTAGGATGAGAATTTTCAATTCGACCCTTCATATTTTCAAGGGAAAGTTCCTGAAATAGAATTAAAATAGTTTGAAAATTTCAAAATAGGACTGTCATGTTTTTTATTCCCAAAATAGGACTAATTACTGTCATGTTTAGAAAATACTACCATGTTTGAAGTTTGGTACTGCCAAAATATGACAGTAATTAGTCTAATTTTGGGAATAAAAATATGACAGTCCTATTTTGGATTTTTCAAACTGTTTTAGTCCTATTTCGGATAATATTCTCTATTTTCAATCAGGTAGAATTAATATGGTGACATTTTTAAACTAGAATTACAAAAGGATCTCGTATGAATTTTGAGTAATTCCAAAAATGCAACCCGTATATCCAAAGTATCCAAACTAATGATTGAATCAAATAAAAGTTGAGATTAAAAAAATTCATCTCTCTTTTAAAATAAGTTCTCACTAGAATCCTCACGTGTTCTACTTTTTATATTTGTGATTGTTTTATGTTTACCGTAGTAATTGTTGTTCTCAACAAAACAAAAAAACAAAGTGAAAATTAAACAAGACGTACTATTAAAAAAATTATTTTTGTAAATTAAATTTGCCATGATCCTTATTAAAAGTATGAATTATTGTAGTTCATTTCGCAGTTCAATAATGTTCGTATATATCAATATACCATTAACTCAACATTTAAATCAAAATTATACCAGAAAAAAAATTACATCAAAAATTACACCAGATGATTGACACGCATGTCTCGTTTTATTTTCGTTTGAAAGGGACATTTTTTATTCTAATGCTGTAGTTCACGTTTTACTATTTGTAGCTACGACTTTAGTTTCTCCACGGAGTACTATTATTGCGACAAAGGTGGTAAAAGACTTAATATTATTTCGTAAATATATGCACCTATAATTCAGGCAAATACTTGTATTTTAATTAAATTAATTAAATACTCCTCGATCAAACATCAACTTACTAAGAAAAATGGCATGAAATATAAAAAAATCAATTAATAAAAAATGACTTTTATACGACTTATATTTCGTAAATGTGTATTATACAGTGTGGCATAAGTTTTTGTGTTTTTTTTTTGTTAAACTGGAATAATGATATTAGTTGTACAGTGATACATGTTAATTATGTGACAATCATTCATGGGTGTGAACCTTAATTTAACAAGTGTTTGAATTGCCTGTAATTTGAATACTTCGAAAAGTAGTTTCTAGTCGCATATTTGAAATACTCGTAGAGAACTTTATTATGTGGTCGAAGTAGAAAATTTTGAACAAACAAGTTGTACAATAATGTAGCTCAAGTAAATAGGGACGGTCATGTTCATTTATCGGCCTATGGACGATACACTATCTTCGATTTATATTCAAGATAAATCATAAACCGTACTTATTTAAAGCATGAATTATAATAAAACTATCTAATAAATGTCGTAAAATGAAGGCGGAAATCACTTTATTACTCTGTATTAATTAACTTACATATTTGGAAAAAGTAACAATACAAGTGTCACGTAAAAAGAAAAAAAACATTAGTTAAAATGAATAATATGAAGCAAAATATCAATAGTAACTTCATAGTCAACCTTTTCCAATAGTAAAAATTACAAATAATAAAGGAATATAAAATTGCACATTAGCATACAAATATCAATTTAACAAGAAAATAAAATGCTACAAATAACAACACTAAATTTTATTTCTGTTACAACTGAAAGGATAAATGAAAAAGAATATTACTATGTATTGAATTCATGAGTTGACAATGATTTACGAAACCTCGAAAGAATGAAAGTTTTTAAAGGGACAAAAAGTTTGGTCACAAAGAAGACTCACACAAAAAGACTGTCAATTTGATATCCTCGATTGTTATTAGGAACTCGGATATCGTTTGTTTATTGATCACTTTGTTTGTAATTTGTTATTTTATAATTAAAAATATAAAAAAAACCTTAAAAGCTAAAGCCTAAAGAGATGTGAAGAGTGAAGATGTGTGTCTTTTATTGATTCAACAACAATTGCATGTGTTGCTTTTAAATTATTGTGTACATTCTTTTTTAAACTTGGCTCTATAAAGACTTTTTACATATGTTCTAACTTTTCAAATTGTCAACAAAAATTAATCATTAAGCCTAATTATTTGAACTTAAAAATAAAAATAAAACCTATTCACACTATATACAAAGAAAAAAATTGGACCTATTTTATTTCTGTTTTTTCGCCCTAGGGCAGTCACCGTGTTGCCCCTCGAGACCATGTAGGTAAATATTGTACTCTTTATACTGTATCAATATTTTATAATTAAAAATATAAAAAACCTTAAAAGCTAAAGAGATGTGAAGAGTGAAGATGTGTGTCTTTTATTGATTCAACAACAATTGCATGTGTTGCTTTAAAACCTACAACCTGTCCTAGATTAAATTATTGTGTACATTCTTTTTTTAAACTTGGCTCTATTAAAGACTTTTTAGATATATTCTAACTTTTCAAATATTCAACACAAATTAATCATTAAGAAAAAAGTTGGACCTATTTTATTTATGTTTTTTCGCCCTAGGGCAGTCACCCTGTTGTCCCTCGAGACCATGTAGGTAAATATTGTACTCTTTATACTGTATCAATTCTTATTCGTTGATAAATAATTAAACATACTATTTTTGTTTGGAAGGAATAATTAAACATACTATAGAAATCCTTTTAAATAATCTTGACTCTTGAGAATTCAAATATACATTGAAAAAGTTATAGAACCCTTTTGACCATATATCAAATTATTTAACTCTTCAAAATTTAATATGAAATTAAACATTCAAATATGGTTTACTTCGTTAGTTATAGATATGGTTTAGAAATTAAGCCCCCTCCACTTTGACTTTAATCAATTACATATTTAATACCCAATGTGCATGGTGCATCATATTTAAACAAATCACATCAGTCTATATTGCACCGAAAATTAAAAATTAGAGGAATTTTGACTTTGCACCCAGTTATAGACGACATATGACTTTGCACCCTATTTTGAAAATGATTGAAGTGCATCCCATTGCAGTATAAAGTCTTTCGACTTTATACCACATTCAGGACCGTCTAATGGTTTTGGAGACCCTGGTTCCAAATGACGAATTGAGGCCCTCTAAAACAAGAAAAAAATACAAAATTTAACAATGAAATACAAATAGACTAAATAGTTCAATGAAATATAGGTTTTATAATGTTTCAAGTACACAAATAAGACAATCTAAAAGTTTTACATCTTTTGGAATTTGGAGTAACACATAACATACAGAAAAATCTACCACCAACTACTACGGAGTATTACATACTAATTTTGGGGGGACCCCATAAAAGTGGGTCCCGATGCCAAGAACCTATTGCACCTTCTACATATAAATGATTTTGAAAAAATGTGGTACAAAGTCTAATATCATCCAAAATATGGGGTGCAACGTCAACTTTTCCCTAAAAACTATTACTACACATCTATTCCGTCCTACTTAACTTTGTCAACTTTGTATTAAGCCTGCATTTATATAACTAAAAGTTATCTGATTGAGATTTATGCAAAAAAAGAAGAAGAAATGAACATAGTCACAACTTCATTACTTTAAAAGGGAAAGTTACAAACTTTTTGAAAAAGGAAACATGTAAACTAGAATAAAAAGGTTTTGAAATATGTTGTCCGTTTTGTAACGTTGAGATTAGGTGATAGGTGTAATTGGATACCGGCCAGTTTCTTTGAACTTTTGCTTAGAAACCAAGAAATGAGGTGCCGGCCGCCAGCGACTGCTGTAGTTTTCATGAACTTGCAGCTGACCGGGATTTACTTAATTGGACTCTAAGCAAAGCTAGCCGCCGCTGCTGCTGATGGTTGCTTCTATGTCATTGTCTCTGTACCGCCAATCGCCCATGTTCATCCCTTTATATTTACATCTTCAATTCTTGACCATAGTCCAAGCGTAGGCCACAGTAAATGTTGGTTGGGCCACTATCAACATTTTTTGCTAGGTTATATTACGTAAAATTTATACTACTGCAGTATTTAACTTAAAATTTATAAGTAAACGGTTCATGAAAATGACCCACCACTTGGAAGATTGTAAATGTCAAATTCTGGTCATAATTTGGTGAAGATGTAATAAGATTATAATCTATCACATACAATTGATACACATTTTAAGTCTTCATATATGGCGTTAATTGGATCCAAAACTATATATGATGATGTCATATGAAATTCTTCAGCATATATTGGTATTCATCTCTTAATTGGGAAGACAGAAGAATAAACGATGTCTGGTTCAGTAGTTGCAGCAAGAAACCAGCAGGAGTCACCATCTTCAAGAACCCAACGTTCACCCCCATCCTTCATGTTGAGAATGGCAATGAGAATATCCAGAGCCAGGTGGTTCATCTTCCTTAGAAGGGTGTTTCACTACCAGAATGGCAATACTGGATTAAGGCTTCCCCCCTATGAGGATGATCTGGGCTCTAACCCACTCAATTCTTTGACTTGGATGATGATGGATTTCATTACTTTGACTGTCCAAATACTTATTGCAGCATACATTCTGGCTGTCTCCAGGGAAGATAGGCCTGTTTGGCCAATAATGAGGATTTGGGTCATCGGCTATGTTTTCGGTTGTATGCTCAGCCTTTTGCTGCTCTACTTCCGATATTGGGTATTCCATTTGAGCCAAACGCATCCTCCATCTGCATTGTCTGATATAGAGCAGCAGAGAAGACGAGGCAGAAGAAGTCTTCAGGAATCAAGGTTAGTTATTTGTCCAGTTTAAGTTTTGAGTGACGATTAGAGAATTTCTGAGTAAAAACGTTTTTAAATTCCAAAATAGGACTATCATGTTTTTTATTCCGTGAATAGGAGTAAATTTCTGCCAAGTTTGGCATTCATAGGCTTTAAAACATGACATCTTTTTCCAAACTTGACAGATTACTCCTATTCAAGGAATAAAAAACATGATACTCATATTTTGAAATTTCAAAACGCTTTTGCTCCTATTTAGAGCAATTTCTACCCTAAGAAGTATAAACGGAGTTTGTTGGTATTAACAATTAAGCTTTACATATTCTGCAAGATGTTCTATTCAATCACCAAATAAATGAATCCAATAAATTATTGGTTATTTGCCTGATGATGTAAAACATCACGTACAATGTCAATATGGTTTTAAAATGGCAATAATTTACTCATATTTAGGGGAGCAAAATAAAGTACTTATATTTTGAAATTTAACATTATCAAAAAATATACTCTCTCGTCCTGCTAAGATTGTCCCATTTTACCTTTTCGATCCATCCCACTAAGATTGTCTTATACCAAATTTGGTATAGTTTGTGTAGTTCTAAATCATTCTTACTTATTCTTACTTTATCAATTAAATATCAACCACATAAACCACTTTTTATTGATTTGTGTGTCACTCTCTCTTGTCCAATTGTTAGTGGGACGGAGGGAGTAGTACTCTTATTATGGAATTTAATCTTGTTTTTACTTTTAGTTCAAAATAATTCCCTATTTGGAGTACTCTGTATGTTTTTACTTGGACTGAAATTTGTCGGTCTGATCTGATCTGGTAAATATTTGATCTCTGTGTATTTTATAACTATGGAAGTCTGGTTATTTAATTTATGCCTATGCTTTTGATTTGAGGCTTTGGGCTTGCATTGGGTTGATTCTTCAATCTTCATGCAACTATTTATTATATTAACGTTTTCTTTGTTGCAATGATCCATGTCACAATTAAAAAGCCTGCCAGTGATGGAGAAATGCAGGACCTTAATGGAGCTGTTCTTCGCGATATGGTTTGTGATGGGTAACATTTGGGTGTTTGATTCACGGTTTGGGTCTTCAAATCCTCCGAATAAGCTCCTCATCCTATGCATCTCCCTCCTTGCCTGGAATGCAGTCACCTACTCATTTCCATTCCTGCTGTTTGTATTGATGTGTTGCTGCGTCCCACTTGTTAGCAGCTTTCTGGGCTACAACATGAACATGGGATCCATTGACCCGGGGGCATCCGATGAACAACTCTCCAGTTTACCAACCTGGAAGTACAAGGAACTCATCATCAAGAATCCAGAATGGGAGAATCAAAATCCGGTAGGTAACGTCACTATTTCGAATCAGTCGCTCTTCGTGTACACGCCACGTTACACATACAATCGTGCACACTTTGGACGTGTTTGGAATTTAGCGGTTAGCGATCAACGGATAGCGGATTATGTTAGCAGGTTGTCAATAGCGGATTCAGTCAGCGGGTTGTTAGAAGATGTTTTGTAATTTAACTGTATGACCATAAAATTACTAGAAAACGTCGTATTTCAAAACAATGGTACTCAAAATTGTAGTATGATTGTTTTAGACTTCGTGCTAAGATGGCCAACTATTTCGAACCTTTTAAAAATACACTCTTTTAAAGATTGTGTTGAAGTATTTTTTCAAAAAACGGTTAACTATAAACTGCTCAAATCTATTATGAGTTACTCCTCTCATCAAGTTAACTTTTTATTTTTAGGTTAGAGCAAGTAACCCGATTCGGGTTTAAGGAATTACAGAATCGGCTATGATTCAAATATAATGTTGTTGCTTTTGAATTAATTTTTTGTGATTTTTCTTGTTTGATAGGAGTGCTGCATTTGCTTAGCGCAATACAGTGAAAAGGAAGAGATCAGGAAACTCCCTTGTTCTCATATGTTTCATCTCAACTGTGTGGATCAATGGTTGAGAATAATATCTTGTTGTCCACTATGTAAAAATGAATTAGATAAATAGATGAAGATGATGGTAGAAGTATCTCATATTTTCATGTTGTATCCTTATAGAAGTTGAGCCTAATATGTTGGAATGTGTATAGACGTATAGTTACCTTTTTGGTTGAGTTAGATTCAAGTCCTACTAAAGTTTTATCTAATTTGATTAGCAGTTTAGGATTTTGTTAATGTATTTGTCTCACACCAGAAAATTATAAAACAATAAAACATTATATAAGACTTTGGACTATTCTTCTATCAGATTATTTTTTAGGATGGAACTTCAAGCATATTGGTATTTACTTGATTCGAGTTTGATATATAAATGTGAAATAATCTCACATTGAATAATATTGATGTTACTTTTGAAATTATTCATACTCAACCTAATATACATGCACCTATTTTATTTTATTTTATTTTTTCTTATTATCAAATAAATATATGACATTCCATCATTTGCAATTGAACCAAAGACTCACTGTTTTTTGGCTTATGAATATGATGGAATTAAAAAGAGTAGCTCACTAAACTGTTTGCGCTTTTTGTTATGAAGCAACAATCATTTCATGTATTTTTCGACGTTATTTTCATTGCGGGTCATTCGGAAACAGTCTCTCTGTACAAGAGTAAGACCGCGTACATCCGATCCCTCCTTATTTCATCGTAAGTGGGAGCCTTACCGCACTTGGATAATGATGATGATCAAATAAATATATTCACATATACACATATTGATGGATAGTCAACCCGGGGGTATGTATCCGAAGGGTTATTGCGGAGAATAACTAGAGAGAAGTCAGAGCATAAGTAAGAGAGAGAGAGTATATTGCTCATAAAGTAGTGAACGTATTTCGCTTGGATTACAAATGGAGAAAATGGGCGCTATTTATAGTAGTAATAAATGCCAGATAGGGAAGAGAAAGGGGTACGGTAATGGTAATAAAAGTGGGGGTATAAAGGTATTTTGATTGAAAAAACTTACCAAAAAGGGAAAGAGGGACAAATAATTAAAAACGTCCCAAAAAGGAATACGAGACAGTTAATAAAGAACGGAGAGAGTATAAGCATACATTCGTATGAGTTTATGAGTTTAGCAACGTCAAAACTAACATTAAGCATTTATAATAGGAAAAATTGATTGTAATAATCCCAACTACTGGCGGTCCGCTCGTAATAATCTCAACTATCGATTATTTCAGAATAATCCCAACTTTAGGGACCTTCCACCAATAATGGTCCGACATGACCGACTATAAATAAATTCATATAGTTTCTAAAGAGATGTAACACGTAATCCCTATAAATAAACCCAAATTTTAATTTTTACGCTTAATTTCTATTAAAAATTCACTTGTTAGAACAGGTAATATGCGGTCATGAACCATTATTAGCAGACGGTCCATATAGTTGGGATTATACAAAATAATCAATAATTGGGATTATTGTTAGCAGATCGGTAATAGTTGCGATTAATATTTTCGATTTTTCCTTTACAATACATGTAAAATATCATTAGCTTAGGAAACAAACTATTCTCATATTATGGGACTATTTAATAGCTCAGTTAGTCTTTTAGATACTCCAGATAAATTTCTATTAATACAATAAACATGTGTCATGCAAGCAGTTATTGATGCTTTCTTCATGTCTTTAAAATTACCCTTCTACCTCCAATTTTAAAAAAGGACCATTAAATTTAGGGTATGAAGTTTAAGGATGTTTTTACTTGGACTGTAATTTGCTAGTCTGGTCTGGTCTGGTCTGAACTGGTTTGATCTGGTCTGGTCTGGTATGATCTGATTTTTTTGTATTTTTATAACTATCCAAGTTTGGTCTGATCTGGTCTGGTCTGGTCTGTTCTGGTCTGTTCTGGTCTGGGACGAATTACAGTCCAAGTAAAAACATCCTAACAAAAGTACTCCCTCAAATGAAGACCGTTTACATGATATATTGAGCATAAAGTAAATTCTTAATAATTTTTAAATTAGTGTTCGTAATTAAAATGCAGATGTTAATAAAAAATTCCATCATAAATTATATTTAAACATAAAGATTACATCTGACTGAGGGTAAATTTTATCGAACAATAATTAAGTCTGCACTATTGTATGGAATATAGTGTTGGGTTGTGAAATAATGTCACGTTCAAAAGATGAGTGTGACACAGATATGCATGTTGCATTGCATATGTGGATATACTAGAAAAGACCATTGAGGAATGACACAATCTATCAGACAAAATGTGGGAGTAACACCTATAGAAAATAAGATGTGGGAATCTCACTTGCGGTGATTTGGTCATGCGCATAGAAGATCGGATGATGCGCCTGTCAGATGAGTTGAGAGGTTTGGAGAAGAGACAGGGAAGAGAGGGATGTTATAAATATGTATAATATTTTACATGCAAATGAAATAATAATTAAATAATTAAGGAAACATGTATAATTACTTGTAACCGAGCTTAACTTAAGCGTTGTTTCCTTTAGACGTTTTTGCCCGACACACGTAGCAAGCGTCTCCCAGGATAGAACGGTTCTTCACTCCCAACGGGATTCCGGCGAACTCAAAGATGCAATGAAAGAAGAGAGAATATGGAGGATTGTGTGATGATTTTCGGATTGATTGAAAATGCTGGCAGTCATGGGTATATATAGAGCTCTGGCCAGGAGACGCTACACCCAAAAGACACCTTTACAAAGAAAGGTTGTGACCCTCCTAAAAACAATGGATGTGTCTATTGCCAAACATTATCCAAAATTGAGAGCGACTAATAGAATTATCTTTAAGCCATATACTCGGGCAGACGGTTTAAGACTCTAACCCGAAACATAATTCCACGCTTATCTTTCAGGGAACAATTTCTCATTCATTTCAAAATGGTTTTTACAAATAATATTAATGACCATAATATTAATTATTAAAACCATTTTTTCAACAATCCCCCCACATGAATGGGAAATTGACTTAAAGACAGGAAACAGATTGGAATTTGACATGGGAAGATGAGAACTCTGCATAGGGTTAGGTAGTCGTGAAACTTTGAACCTACCTTAGTGTATATCCATCAGATTTACTGGACAATCGGTAGCACTCTGCTTTGAACCGCCAGCCATTGTGTAAACCTTGACAGCTAAAATAGCATCCCCCACATGTTGTTTGGTGCACGAGAGCTTACTAACATGACATTAACCATGTCCTTTAAAATCATATTCTTCTTTTCGGCTACTCCATTTGATTGAGGCATATTTAGAGCGGTTACTTGATGAATAATTCCACTTTTCAAATAAATTGATTCAAAGGGATATTCATACTCATCATCTCTATCCCTCCTTAGTGCCTTAATGTTCTTACCAATTTGATTTTCAACTTCGGCTTTATAATGCTTAAAAGCACTAATCGCTTCATCTTTGCTTCTTAGCAAATACGTACAGATAGCAATATCTATTGCTATCATCGATGAATGTGATGAAATGCCTTTTCCCGCCTCTAGTTTCTTCATACTTAAGATCATATAGATCCGTGTGTATGAGGTCTAGCGGTTTTTGTGTCTCTTGTGACAGTTTGAAAGGGTTTTCTAATCATTTTGGCTTCCACACAAACTTCACATTTATGATTAATTAGGATCAATATGACACTTAGGTAATAAATCTAAATGCATAAGTCGATGCAAAGTATCATAATTAACATGTCATAATCTAGCATCTCAAATAGTAGATGACTCAACCAAATAAGAAGAATCAACTTTATTATTATTTACATCATTGTTTGGTACAACAATCAACACATTCATTTTTAAGAATCCATCATTAAGATGGCCTTCCAACAAATACATCATTTTTTTATCAACACAAAATATCGGATACAAAGACTAGCTTAAAACCATTCTTGCTTAGAAGGGAGCCCGAAATTTAATTCTTACTTATGGTCTTCTGGCCTTTTACTCATACTTGTCGTTATCCTCTTCTATCTTCAAACGAGCAATGAGCTCCTCTAGAGTCATTTCTTTATTCTCATGCTTCAAGTAATTCTTGAAGTGTTTCCATTTTTTTATTGTTTCAATTACAACCGCCACTTGGAAAGACTCGCTAAGGGACATACCCTCAGCATGAATTTCATCATGAACAATAAGTCGGAATTTTTCAACTTGAGAAACAACAAATTTTTTTATCGACCATAACAAAATCAAGGAAATGACCAACAATGAATTTCTTCTTTCCTGCATCCTTAGTTTCGTATTTCTTCTCAAGTGATTCCCACAGTTCCTTTGCCGTTTTCATATCGGCATAAACACAATAGAGGGAGTCATCAAGCCCTGTTGGGATATTGACCTAGAGGCCCAATACCCAGATCGGGAAGGCTCAAGATATCCGGCCCAAGTAACATGCCCATCACTCTATGATGAAAAGATCCAGTAAGGAGACATACCGAACGGGGTTCGGCCCAAATAAAGGTTGGTCCAATAAGAAGACATACCGAACGAGGTTCGGACTATATATTATACTTGGGCCAATTCGACAGCATCTTCAGTACGGACCAACATCCCGTTCGAGCAACGGCCAACCAGCAAGTGGCCAGGTGCAGTTAATGCCAGACTATGACATCAGCAAGTGGAAGCATGGATGACCAAGTCGGTGGAACAACGGCCAATCAGCAAGAGGCAGCCCATGCTCTCCATTAGTATAAATAGAAGGTTTCAAGTCATTGTAAGGGTTAGCATTTCAATACTCAAGCTCTAGAATAGCATCATTTGCTCTTATTTCTTGTATTAAAGCATAGTTTCCGACTTATCGATCGGGAAATCCCTTGTAATCAGATTGGTTAATTAATACAAGTGAGCTTTCGAGTTTTAGTTAGTTCAGATCTTATATTTTCTTTTACGCTTTGATTCTGGGCCATTCCTGATATATCCAAAGTTCGTGTTGGGCTTTCGGATCTACGGGACTTACCCTCAACATTGGCGCCGTCTGTGGGAACCTTGCAAAAAGTTTCACTTTCTAAACATCCAAAAAACCTCTATTCCTAAAAAATGGTCAGAATCAATTCCTATCATACAAACGACGGTTCACACCGTCACGGGAGGAGTCACACCCCGGGGAGTCAAAACCCCTAGGGACAATCCAGTCGAGGATCATATCCTCGTGTTAATGGGGATTTTGTGATTCCCGAATCTCTGAGGAGAAATCCCCAGGCCATGCGTGACATGGCCCAATTCATGCAGCACATGGCGAACGAAGAAGAAGGAGGTTCCAGCTTTACAGGAGAAACTCCA